AAGCTTTCCTCAGTTCACAAGAGCATGAAGTGAAGGTGAGTATTGCCAGTCCTCCTGAATCCTGAAAACCTCCCTTCCCCTCCCAGTTCACCATATAGTCTTAAAGTCAAGTCTCTCTGTAAGTTCGCCAGGACTTATTTATACTCCTGAGTGGACAGAGGAGTTACATACGATAGTCTGTTGTCTTTCACTCGTCCCAGTGACCCCGCCAGACTCGAACCCAGACCTTTCTAACTAGTACAGTGCTCTTACCAGTTCTCTCGAAAAGATTGTTCAACCAGTCAATGACTAACTAGTCCGACAGGGAGACTGGTTGACAGACTATCTTAATTACCTTCGCACGGATAAGTTAGATTTTTTTTTAAAAATAGAAGTTTAAGGCAAGAAGTTAATTCGTTTTATCTCGGGTGTGGGAAAAAGAAAAATTCTGAGTATCAATGATGAATCGAACCACACACCTTCGGATTTAACGCTCCTAAGCGGAGACTGATGAGTTAAGACATTACAGGTCTACATGTAACACGCGTATTATATACTGCCAGGATAAGCCACGCCGAAAGCCTCTTTTAAGTTCATAGGCTCTTGAAATCATAGGTTGTAATTTTGTAACTTACAGTGGCAGGTTTTCCAACAGTGTCGTCTTGCAGAATATCCACCTCTTCAATCAGCTTTAGTTTAGCGTGCACGGTATGTTTACAATGGTCTCGTTCATGTTTTTCTGTCATTTGTGATGGCAGTGGACTGGAATAGGCGATGACACTGGTAACCAAAGTCGCATCATCTGATGTTTTCAACCAATCGACTGTTTGCTTCCGACCTGAGATTAGATATAAACCTTAGGCAACTAAGAGGTCTGAGGTTCAGACCTACACTATTTACCATACCTGTACTTTTTGTTTTTTTTACAATCTGTCTGACACCAAAGTTTTGGAAACGACAAGATTGCGCATTACCACTCAACCGGCTGGCTTTTCTTAGTAACCAGGAGAGGGATAATAGGTGATGATAGATTCAGCTCAACCGCACCATTTGGGTGACTGGAACAACCTAAGGTTAAATTACATAGGGATTTCTTTTACCGATAATTGTCATTACTCACCTGGCATACGGTAGTTTAATGTCTTCATGACCATACCGGTGACATTTTTTCTTCTTTTGGTTAAGCTACGTTTTGTTCGCTGGGTGGAAAATGTATACAGGATTGGATTCAGGGAAGAGTTCAACGGAAGAACAAATACTGCAATCCATACGTAAGCGATTTTGTTTGGATCCTCAAAATTTCCAGTCAGAGATAAAACATTGATTATAATGATTGGCATCCAACAGCAGAAGTCTGTCATCACGATGAAAACAAGTCTCTTGGCCATCGCAGATTCTTTTTTGAAATTCGTCGATCGCGCTGCACGTGCAGCCCGCTTTACCGTCCAAAACATCGCCGTATACGCGACGAGGATAAATGTGAAGGAAATGAAGTTGAGGCAAACAAAGATTGTCACGGAGTATTCCCAACCAGCAGGTGTACCCTCTGAAAGCTGAAGAGGAAGGCAAACAGCGGAGCGACTATAGAAGCCGAAATCTCCGCTTTCATCATAAAAGTAATTTATTCCGGTGATAGGAATCACAGATATGATTATGCCAAATATCCATACACCCATGCAGGAAAGGAGGGCGGTTTTGTAAGTAAGGCGCTTAAACTTGAACGGGAAGACAATGCATATTAGTCGGTCTATGGTTATGATGGTGAGAATCAGGACAGACACTTCACTGGAGAGCATCGAAAGAGCCCCGACCATTTGGCAACCCATGCCGGATCTCCATTCGATGTCATGCTTAAAGTATTCCCCTTGCCACCTCAAGTCCATAATAGCGATAGTTAATAGATACACGCCCATCAACAGATCAGCAGCGGCCAAATTAGTCAGCAGACAGGACTGAACCCTGTTCTCCTCTTTATCAACAATACGCCATATAATGACAAGTAGGTTTCCAAGGAAAGCGAGCATTCCAAGAATCCAGATACAAACCTGAACTGGTTTGTTTTTCATGAGGTCGTCACAGCTGGAAAATTCATCGACTGGAGAATTGCAATCAACTCCTGCAATTGATTTCTTAGCGTAGCAACACAAAATGAAGCGGTCGAGTTTCCTAAACGAAAATATTCCGTTGTAAGTACGAATTCACAATCTGCCTCTCTGTTTCCCCGGAGGAATTTTGATTACGAGTCGAAAGCAAACCAGAATTGCACGGGTATTGTTTTATGTTGCTTTTAATTGGTTAAGAAAATCTGCACCACCTCCCCAGTCATTCAGGAGCACAGAAATTTCACGCGCTGGACGCCTTAGGCGTATGTTTTCTTCAGTTTCCTTGGGCTCATTTCGGTGTTTCCTTTGATCTGATTAGCTGAAATTGGCATACACTTAAATAAAACAAGCTAATACGTCTAAAAGTGTAAATAAATACTTACAAATACTCCAAGTTTTCAAGTTCACTGAATGCATCGGAAGGTACATCGGATAGTTTATTATTGTCGAGATACCTGTCAGAACAGAGAACAAAGAATAAGGGAAGAGAAATTATAAGCAAATGAAAGATTTGATTTAAGACAAATTTCAAGCTTACAACTAAAATATCTTATACACAAACTTATGAGCTCGAAGTACAGAAATTAGCAAACGGTCTACTCACAAATGTTCCAAAGACTTGAGTCCTTTGAAAGTTCCCTTTGTGACTGTTGTTAGCTTGTTACCACTTAGGTCTCTGAGAAAAACCGCATTAAGAATAATAATCAAGTTGAAAATAATTTCAGAAAATTGATGAGGATCTAAATGGTTCTCACTTGAGTTTTAACTGACTATTTAGATAAACGTCGTACGCTGAGAACAACGTACTGGAAACTGTGTAGATTTCAGCTGCTCAAGGGAAGATAAGACTATAAAATCGATCTTTACGCTACTTCCAGCGAAAACTCGCCTTTTGTTATTCAAACATTGCAGGAGATAATTTCGTATTGAAAGTTGTTCCTCTTTGTGAACCTCTCCCGTCATCAGTTGGTTTTACCATTATATATTTTCCCTAACACTGAAGCTTCGTGTCTTGATTGATGTGTAAATTATTCCACCCATATCCTTGCAAAATTAAGTATGTTAGAGGCAGGAATTTAGATAACTATCGGCTGTAGGATGTAACGTCAAACTCCTTCAGTTAATATACATAAAAATAATTAATTTCATACTGAATCTCAGGAGTTAGGAGTTTCTAATTCCGCCGGAGACTTTTTCAAGGCCGTGTCTGTTTCTCGAAAGTAACGGCGACTTTATAGGTGCTAAGCAATCTCTTAAAATTTAAATCTAAGGCATCGTATCAGAACAGATCTTAGCTGAAAACTAGCCAAATCTGTTTCTTTTCCTAACATTTTCCCTGTTTTAATTTCAGAATTATTGATCTCTCGTTCTTGAACGTAAAAGTAGCATGTAAAAAGAGAAAAACTTTTCGAAAACACTATTTACCAGGATTGCGCAAAAAAGGTCCCGAGTTATTATTCCTTCTTTTATTATGATATATTTATTTCTTTATTGAACACTACAACTTGGATGGCAATACTTACAATACTTTCAGCTTTGAAAGATCTTCAAACAGGCCCTCTGGTAGTGTTGTTAACTTGTTGTTCTGGAGGTATCTGATTGAAAATATGCAATTCCAAATCATCTGTTTTTATTCTACAGAATAAACGCTGATTTTTTTTTTGACTAGTGCATGACCCGGCCTCTAAAAGAAAAATCCCTGGATAATTATGGCCTATATTTCTTTGTAAAGGAAAACTTGAAGCAGGTTTCAACAACATATCAAGTTGTGTCCCTAAGAAACTGTATGTATCATTACTGGCCAAAACCCAAAAAGATTTCTATTTGATAGAGCAGAGGTTATCTGAAAATGAAAGAAGGAAAACTATACTTACAAATGAGTCATATTGCTTTTGTTTTCAAAAACGCCATATTCCATTCGCTCAATCTGATTTGAACGCAAGCCCCTGTAAGTGAATAAAAATTCTGATAAAGGCTGTCTCTTTTTTTAAATAATTAGTTTCATAAGAAAAATGACAATTTCAAAATTTATTTGGGTTACTTTTTGTTTAGAACATAATACTTACAAAACTTCTATACTTGATAGTCCGTCCAGCATTCTTTTCATTGGTTTTCGTAGAAGGTTTTTTCCCAAATCACTGAAACAAATCACATTGATGTCCACTAACATTCAAGTTATGAAGAGGAATGTGAGATTGCCTTACTGTAAGTTCTGTGACTGTCGGCAAGATTTGTGCCATCCTCTTAGCCAATCAGATACATAGATAAAACTTAGTTGTTTTCATTTCCTCTGGCTCAATAGAGGAATTTTTTATTTCCAACTGGCTTTCATTACTTTAACTAATCAATGTGATTAAAGTCGATCTGCATTGGCAAAAGCGCAATGAGCGCCAGATTTATAGGTCACACAAATACTCACAGAACAAGTAGATTAGGAATTCCATGGAAAACTCCGTCGGGAAGAGATCTTAAAAAATTGGAGTTTAGTCGCCTGGAAAAAAGGTATATTATTAAATTCAATTTCAAAACCATCTGATACTAGCCTTAGAGCCAATCCCTTACGAAAGCTTATGGAGTGAAATAAAGTTCCTGAAGAGACTACTAGCGCCTCCCGTCTGCGTAAGATACTCAAGCTATTTAACCAACACTGGGAACCTTTTTCTTTCTTTCATCGAAGGAATTTTTTTTTAAGGTATAAAGAAGAGTATTGAGACCATTTATTAATGGTTTCAAGTTGCACGTCGGACATCTCACTACAAAATTTTCATGAGTACTTTTTCCCGATTTTCAACCCGAATTGAAAAAAACAAACAAACAAACTGAGAAATAAGACAAACATGACAACTGACCTTGAGATAAAGTATTCAGAAACTCGACTTTTTCATTAGCGACATACAGCTTGACAAGGCGTGATCGTACTTACATTGTTTTGACGGATGAGACATTTTGAAAGCAGTTTTCACTGAGGCGAAGCAGAATATTGAAACTTATGTCACTAGAAAAAAAAAAACATTATCAGTTTGTTAAATTCTACAGCCAGTTCATTAAACCCTTGGCTGGAAGAAATCCAGACGGAAACTTTTTACTTTTTGATCAACGCATGAGGAATATACTTACATATATTCCAGCTTTTTAAGATCTGAAAAGGCCTTTTCCTGCAACTGGGATATCCGATTATTCTTGAAAAACCTTGAGAAAAATATGATACTTGCAGCAAATACGTATAGAGAATGTAATCATTAAAAAAATATCAAAACAGCTTACTGAGAAAAGCGACAAAAAAAAGATGGTATCACCAGGTTGAGAAATACAACAGAACTATATATTCGCAGAGTTTTTTATTGCTTACACAGCTCCAGTATTGGAGGGAAGATTTCTTGGAACACTGAGCAAGTCTACCCCAGTTACTTGAATCCTCTTGTCTTTGTCATAGCTGAAATCTTCACATTTGCAGCTCGACGGACAACCTAAAGCAAACGATAGCACTATTATCAGTAAAAACCAACAAACCATTTAATTAGAAAATAGATTAAGTAGTAGATCTCATGGTTGTTTACCTTGCTGGCGTGAACAGGAAAGTCCGTCATTGTCGTTGGCTGGAAAATTAAGAAAACAATTTTAATCAATTCCTGACACAAGGTTCTGAAATGAAATAAAATGGCTTACAGAAGCGAGCCAGCAGCTCTAGCTATAGAATACTCCTGGTAATCTTCATGGGAAAGTAATTACCTTAAACATCAATCTACGCTAAGAAAGAATCTAAGAAAACATCTTAACTTATACAGCTGACTTAGTAAAAAATTTCATCTCAAAACTTTGAAACTCATTTTTGTTAAAGGCGGCACCTGTAGAATTAAGCAACTTAACAGATTGCCAACAGAATAACAACAAAAACGCTATGATATAATATAAAGCCATAATATAATTTTCATGTACCTGAAACAGAGTGGTACAAGGCCTTGAATCGGGCTAAAGGCAAATTTCCTTGGCAGCTCAAGAGGACTGTTAAACGATTCGAGGAAGATAGGAAATTTGGAGGGAACAAATAGCCGCAGAACTTGCCCAAGGATGTCCTCTCACTTCCGTCAAAAACTTCCACAAAACATTTATCACACGTGGGGTGATCTCTGAGTCTGAATTCTTGGAACTGCAAATTAATTATATGACGGGGTGGGACGGTAATAACCCAGCTACAGAGAATGTCATAAGGAGAGTGTCCCGGGTATGAAGGCGAGAAGAAATATCCTGACTTGTTGGTCAATGTTTCGCTACAGGCTGAAACAAGATGAAAGAGTTGTAAGTTGATGAGAATAAATAAAGTTTGTATTTTCCTTAAAACCAAAGTAAAAAATTTATTGATTGCTACCAATGAGAAAATTTTCGAGAGTCACTCCCACGTTCCATAAAAATTTGGACATATTTTGTTTAAACGTGCGAAGCGTAGCGGAGGATCAACATCAACTTCAACCCATCTGTGATGCAAGGTTTAGGAATCGAAGCTTTTTTTCAAATTTTGGCAGAGGACGACCTCCGTAAATTTTCCTTTTTCCTCTGAAAAGTCGACAAGGCAAAAATGGGAAGTAACCCCTTTTCAATTTCCATCCTTTGCCAAAATTTTTCCCCACAATGTGACTGAGATTAAGTACACTTAACGAATGCTTCTATTAGAACTTTACCGCTTTTCGCTAACCAAGGTTTTTCTTCACAACGGTTTCCCTCCTCAATGTACAGTCCTGTTAATGCTATCAAGTCTTCCCTTGTCTCTGTTTTACCTTGTATCGACACCTGTTTTTTGCATTAGACGATAGCAAAAAAGGGAGAAGAAAAAAAATCATAATTATGGTCGGTCACCAACTTGTTATTCGCAAACAATTAAAAAAAAAGCAGACATGAAAATGGCGGAAATTGCGAAGCAAGGAACTGTACTCCACGCTACAGAAAAGAAATTTTTCTAAGGAAAGTATGAACGACTGGTTGAGTCAAAAAAATGTTTTCTCATACTTTTCTATGCTTAAAACCTGGAAACCCTTGCCCCTTTTTTAAACCGTGGACAAAAAAATCTATTCTTCTCGAGAGGAACATGTTTATATTGTCCTTTACAGGGAATGACATCTTGGGAGATAAATCTGAGGACCGGAAGGAACCAGGCCAATCTGGCTCTCATTTACCTTTTTCCTGCATAAATACCTGAAACTCAGAAAGAGAGTTCAAAGGAACTTGTCCATAAAGCCAGTTCCTGCCGGTGTTGCGATTCGAAATCCAGATTGGAATTTCACGGTAGGTTTTTGTCTTCCAATAGATTGAAAGTGTCTTCTTCCCAGGCCCACGCAGCATATAACGAAATTTTAGGCAATCACTATACCAGTCACGTGATCTATTGTATAGTGGGCTCACAAGAGTAGCGGACTGGTTGAAGTTGGTGACGTTGGTATCCACTAAAAGTCGGCCACCTGCATTAGGAATACAATTGAGACTATTTCGCATTGCAAATGATTTTCATTCACCTATCCGGAAAAAAAATACCGAGCATTTGTTCAAGTAGCTTGATAGTCTGGGTGAGGGTAGTCCTGGAAAGGTCTTTTGTCGGTGGTGGTGACTGACGTTTGGACAACCTTAGCGGAAGCCATCATCATTAAAATCATCTGAGTCATAAACCGATACACCGTGAGAGTCAATTTACCCGCCCAGTAAAAACTCACGGTAGAGTGTTTACATCAATCTAAGGATGTTCAAGAGGCAAATGTTTTGCTGGTGTGTTTAGAAGTCCCGTAAATCGATCCTAAAATAAGAGGGGTGTGGCCGAAAAAAAACGAACTACGGCGTTTTAATTGAGAAACTATTTCATTTTGTGGCTTCACCGCTATCAAAACTTCCTCAAAAATCATTAGTTATGCGGGCAAGTGGTTACCTAAAGGACTCATTTATTATTCAGACTTGAGAACAATGAACTAGGGGCTGCTGCTAATAGCTTTACCAATAACTTGCCTCCTCTATCTCTGCAGGTTCGAAACCATTTTACCGCCACTTCTTTCTGCAACCCATTTCTGACCGTTTTCCATGCCTTCACGTCACCTTCTTCACTGCTACATCCAAATGACATGCGCAGTATTTCCTCAACGGGCATTGCATGACCCCAAAGATTGAATCCGCTTAATGCACCCAAAGCAATTGACGCATTCTCACTAGAATTTCTAAACCCGATAGTCATGGTTCCTCCTCCTGCGAAGGAAAGATTGAGAAACATTATGAAATTATGTGATAACAAAGAGATTTCATTTTAATGTCTGCTCTAATTATAGGGATAACCTCGGGAGTTTCCTTTTCATCATAAACTTGTATCATTGTATCAGTTAAGACGAATGAAGTCTATGAGTGTCGAAAGAAATCCAGAATTGCGTTGATTTGCCTCACTACAATCTGTGACCGATCCAGGAGATTGGCACCGTCCGTACCCTCTCAGATCGGTCACTCAGGATTTCCCGCACTTCTGGCAGTTTACTTGGTTTTACTTCAGTTTCTTATTGACCCCTTGTAGCATTATCCTTGGTCGAATTCGCCGTTGCATGAATGAGCTCTACATGAAATATTTTCTTCGCTCATTTATTACTTAATTATTATATCGCAAAGCCATATGTACATCTGCGTTTATATTTCTGCACCCTTTTTCAAAGTCGACTAACTCCGAGAAAGAAGGAGTTTAAAAATGCAAAACAAAAATCAACTAGTGACAAAGAAATAACACTGTTGCTGACGTTATTGAGTGAGATGCAGACGATTTCTCTACCATAAGTACTGTGTACCTTCAATCTGAAAAAAAAATTGAAATCCAAATGAACTATATTTTCTCTCGCCATCTTTGAACACCTCCATCAGCCCTACGTGGTTATTCAACAATACACACACGTGGTGCCACATGTCATCTGCCACGCCTGTCGATATTTTGCTATGAAAAAAATTCAAATATAATCATTCAGTTAGAGTAAGAGAATATCAACTGGTTGATATTCCCTTGGTTAGAGCCAACCATTTGGGGATAAATTGTGGTAGTTATCCGTTGTGGTATAGGAATCTATCTGTGAGTTCTCCCCGTCTCCTCTCTATCTTCTTCACGGTAGAGGGTATGCTAGTGTGCCTAATTATGTCGAATCATTACTTTTTCTCTACCCTTTTGATACAACCCGCTTCAGGCAGCGTGTAAACGCGGTTCTTGAGATATTAGGACCTTGAGCACTCTCAGGGGTGGTGTCAAGGTAATGAGAAATAGAAAAGTGAACTTGTATCTTGTATTTGTCTGAAGAGTTTCACAAATGGCACTGTGTCCACCTCTAGCCGCGCGCCAAGCTTCATCTCCGGTACTCTACGCAAAGGCAGCACTGAGTTACAAATAGAAACAGGATTAATTTGTTGACAGTTAATCACTTCTCAGACAGCTGGAACTCGGGAATTTCTCGTTCTTGTTTGGCTGAACACGGCAATGTAAAGATTCTTACAACGCACTTGCAGAGCTATTGTTCTGCCTATTAAACCTGAAGTTTTGTTTTGCCTCGTTCGAGGTTTACCCTAACTCCTTTTATCAGCCCTTTAAGGCAACAATGTATACATATAATATTTTGTCCCGCACCTCCTCGTGTTTTTCAGCTGTAATTTAATGTTTTCGTTACCGACGTAGCATCCCAATTGCAGCGATTCACCTTGCTCCCGGGGGACTTTATATTCGATGAAAAAACCATCGTGAGTGGTCTTTATCCAAAAACAGAGCGTGAAACCCCTCAGGAGGGGTGAAATGCCAGAGAATGACACATAGCCGAGATCAAAATCAGGAAGCTGAATCTCGTAGTTTTCTGGATCAAAAAGTCCTGTGGTATTAAAACAAGAATTTCAACACAGCAGCCATATACAGATGTAACTTTCCTATAGGATATAGTGGAATGAGAGAAAGGTATGCGGGATTTATATCTAACTTCTTTTCAATAAAGTTCCACTTAGGAGGTTAGGTTAAGCACAAGGATTACGTCAAAAGACAAATATTTTTTTGAAGTCTACACTCAGACGTTAGCGCGCTGACACAAAATTATTTCAATTAGCCAAGAAAAACAAAATTTTTTGCTGTTTTTTTTTCTGAGGATTTTCTTCAGTCTTGGATTCAGAAGCATATAAACTCGTTATATGCTTCTGAATGGATTATGTTAAAATAGCATATGCTACCGATGGATTATGTTAAAAGAAAGTAGATTCAAAGTTCATTTTTGTCGTTTGTTGTTAATACTACGGTCAAACTCACTGATACCACATGGCAGGGTAGTTTAGGCACTTGAGTTTTACACTAGGAGATTCCAGTCCACATCGTACAGTCAATCACTCCGTTGGGTTCGTCTTTTAAAATCTCAGTGTTAAAACACCTCGCAGCGCTTTACAATAGCAGTTGTGGTTTAAAAGTCTCTTAGTTCGTGAGTTCAGAATTCCCAAACAGCAAAGAGGAAATAGATATGAGAAAATTTAATGAAGAGTAATGTATACATACCATGCATTAAAAATTATGAATCAAATTCTGGTCGGTATGGAAGTTGAACCCATGACCTCTGCTATATCTCCGGTGAGGTGCCCTAACGGCTGGTTGAGAGTTGCATGATTTTTATATATTCACAGCCATTAAAAATTTTACCCACCAAAACCAGTTGAGTCGTCTGAGTCAGCAACACCGCCTTGTTCGTTATTGTTGGTATCACCACCTTTGTCCTGATAGACATGGTCAAGCTCGTTGTGTTTGAGTCGCTTCCAACCATGAATGCTTTTCCATCCACACCAATCTTGCGATATGTCACAGGAGCTGTCAGCTTAATGATTTCAGGAGAGGATCAACTCAGCTAAGATTAACAGGGGCCTTCCTATATGCCAACCAGTGCCACTGCCACTGCTACTACTTCTAATATCACTAGTTATTACCTAGTTATTTTGTCACCAATGCAAAGACTTGTGTTTTATCAGAATCAGATGCATAAGGAAAATAGAATAGAAGGCAAACGAGAGTGTTTTCCCGGTATAATAACTTTCTAAAGGAAGAATAAACACTATTGATTTACGTGCAGGACGGTGCATTATCAGACAGTGTTGATTCATGAAACGATATATACATTACCTTTACAGCCATAGAGCTCCACTCTCATGGAGATGTGGCCTTTCCAAGCTATCGGTCGAAAGCGGATTACACGTGCTATGATAGGTGGATCAACTTGATGAAAAACAACACTGTCCATATTCGTATTTCCATCAAATACCTTCATGAAAAAATGGTAGTACAGTTAATTGAAGGACTGCTCGTATATCTTGTATTCTTATATTATATTATATTATTGTATTCTTCTCCTGAAGTAATTTAAATGAAAATAGAATCGAACAAAATGGATAAAGAACAAGTCCAAACTAACAAAACAAGCCCAAACGAACAAAACTGATTCCAGCAATATCGAACTCAGCCGAGCCCATTTCGCTCCTATCCCACCCCGGCTCAGCTCATATCGAACTGTCCCGACCCGATTCGACGCGAGGCGGCCTATCCGATCCGACGCGACTCATATCGACTCGACCTAACTTGATTTGAGCTGAACCAAACACAATCAAAACAAAGAAAACTACTCTTAACCAAATGTAATTTTGTTCGTTTGTCTATGTTTGTTTGTTTGATTGTTTTTTTTTTTTTCATGAAAGAGACAATTGAATTTTGATTGCGATGTGTAAAGTCCAGCTCACCTTCTCTTCAGTATCTGCTGGTTCCTTGTAATACTGGAAGCTTACTCCATCCTCGCTATACTGCAGCTTGTATTTTTTTACCCACTGAGGATGACCATTCCTTCCTTGTGTTGCTACTCCCGTTACCTTCGTGTACTGACTTCCCAGATCGACCTGGAGCCATTGGTCACCGTCGTTTACTCTGGCTGACCAAGAACCTTGTTTAACGCCTGATCGTTTAAAATGTAATCTCCCCTGGGGAGGGGCATGATGGGCATCCCATTGCGAAGATGCAGAAATTTGTAAGTCGGAGATAGCTCCATTCTCCATGCCAAGAGGCTTCTGACAATCTGATGGTTTTTAGGGATTAAAAAGGAATTTGACCATCAGTGAAATAGAACGAATAGGAAAGAATCCACTGTAGATAATACTCTGCACTTCCTTAGCGGTGTTTGCCATGGTTAGAAGAAATTATGGAGGTCAAAAGAAGAAAGAAAACACAAATTACAAGCTCCTCTTTATCAAGTAACACATGGGGGGCGGGGGGTGGGGTATAGGGGTACAGTCAGTTGTAACGATAAAAAGGAGCAACAAGATAAAACAGGCCCTCTAAAACATAAAGCCCCAAAAGGTCTACAAATGCACCATCTCAGTTTCTCCGACCATTCTAATGTAGCTTTGGTCCCAAAAATATTGTGGCTCTCCTCCTTTAGCCATCTAACCTCAAAATCTAGATCTCCATTCCCCTACATGAATGACGTATATTTCATGAAATGCAAATCATACGTAGGGATTGCGGCTTATTTCGGTCTCTTGGAATCACAAATCATTGGCTTTTCGTAAAATGACATTCATTCTACTGGCATATTTCGCCCAGAATACCCACGAGTTCACCTCAGTGTTACTTTAATTGGTTATTCGCGGGAGTAAGAAGTAAACGGGCGCAGCGAATGTCGGTAATGTAAAAACTCAGTGACACGAACTTCAGTTTTACTGTGAAGAATTGACATCTAGAGTAATCCTTATCTTTACCAGAACTCCAAGGAATTAGTTTGCAAGGTTCTTTGGTGAAAGAAACATCATCGATGGCTAAAAATGGTCCGGGAGAGAATCTTTTGATACCAATAAACAGAATCTGTTGTCGATAAAAAAAGAAAGCAATTATGATAAGATTTAGGTATATACAACCATGAAAAGATGTGTCTTGAGGGGAAAAGAAATCATAATTTGGTTTAAACCCACGCTAGTTCCAGCAACACTGTCTTAGAAAGCACGTGGAAATCATAAAATCGTGATCACTTTGGAGTTTTCAGAGAGAATTGCAAATCTCTAGTTTCTTTTGCAGCCATTGCTTGGTCTATTGACCCACTCCCTCAAGTTATGCTTGTTAATGGTGGGGTAACTAACTCGTTTCGAGACGAGAACAGAGGCTGCGAAGGAGACTAGTAACTACCTGAATTTGAATTGAGTTGATTGGTATCGGTAGCTGTACATATTTCCATGCGTTGGTCGCCTCTTCCGCATGAAAAAGCAGTTGAGTTTTGTTCTTCTTTGCGTTGCTTAAGATCACAGTTAGTGACCTCCTGCTCCAGAGTTGAACTTGAACGTGAGCTATGTCGGCGATGAGATACCAGAAGCGAAGGCATTTCCATTCGTAGGCATTTGTGTTGATGATAGGAGATGAGAGAAAAGAGAACAGTTCTGATACTCTGGCCGGAAGAGAAGCGTATCCTACTGACAATAAAATTCGACGTCGTGTTAAATGAGTATTATTCTCTTGACACTGAACTTTTACCACTGACCAATTTTGAGATTCCAAAGAATATTCCAAAATTTTGAAAGTCGTCTTTAAATATGCTAAAAATATGCCATGGAGGGCGCCATTTTGAAACTTGTCGAGGGTATAATGTCGTTTCCTAAGAACACTTTTAAGAATTCTGCATTTTTTTCCCGAAGTTATTGGAAAAGGTTAGGCAAACTCACCTCTCAGAGATGGCAAAAGTATCGCCAGATACTTCGTCAGCGCTAACTCACGATCTCACAGCTTACCTCGCTTTCCCATTCCCGCTACATGAGTATTCAGAACCCATCCATCATGAACGTGCCAATCGCACATACTCCCTTCGAAATAGCAGTCTGGACTCGCTGTCGATGGTTTAAGAAGAGGAATAGGTTTTAGATGCCATTTGTGTTTCTTTTTTCCTTAAAGTAGCACTACTGGACGGGAATATCACATATAAAAATGTAGTTAACTCGTCTTGAGGCCTTTATTACTAATTTGGTCGTCTGCAAACACCTCGTTAGATGTACTTACTTTGTTTTAAAATTTTCTCACATGCTCCGTCCAACACCGAGAAATCATCTACTGCAATATCACCTTTACTTCCAGTGCCAACTGTTCCTTCTAATACAATCTGACAATAACAAAACTGATACTAAACAAAGATTGACCTTTTCAACGCTTCAAAAAGCCGATGACGAAAGTAAAATAAGTTTTGCTGAGTAAAATAATTTTCTTGCCTTGTTGGAAAAAATGTGATTAAGTGGATATCTGGTTATTATCCTCTGCCTAAATTTTTTAAGATACAGTGTACACTTCTGAATACCCTTATGAAAGAGATCCTTCTAATTAGGAACCCACGAAAACATGTTCATACAAAGAACGAGACTTTCGGTTGGCCACCAGTCAGCAGCTACTGAATCAGATCGCATCATAGATCATGCATTTCAATCGTCCTCTATTATAAGAGAATTGTGCTGATATAAATCATATAGATTAAAGGCTTTTCGTTGCAAAATTTTTTGAGAAATTGAACACTTACTTTAGACCAATGGGTGCTATTCAGACTCGTTTGACCAAATCTCCAGCGGTTTCCTTGATCTCCCGACACCATCCAAACAAGCGTTTCTGATTGGTTAGTTTTGAGGTAGATACTCAGATTACCAATGTCCGGCCCGTGCATGTGAAACCAGAACTTAACGCAAACTGTTTCATTAGGTTCCATCCAGTCGCTCAGTAATCTTGCCTCGTCTCCAAAGTTTCTTCGAGAAGCTTCGATATAGATATAAGAACCTGTAAAAATACATTACACGATTATTTTGGGTGCCTGTTTCGTCATTCAAATTTTGAATGCAATTATATGAATCAATTCATTATCAGTTTAACAGCGTATAAAATTAGCAGTGTTTTGGCTGAGTTTTAGAACGCTTTTCTTTTGAGTTTCGTGAAACCAAAACCAAGACCAAAGTGATAAGAGTGGCCAATCACCAAACATGTTGTCTTAAAAATGAAATCGTGTGTGTCCTCAGCTTTGAAAGCACTGATTAATAGGGGTGGCACGAGTTTTCTGGACCAATCACACAGCGAAATGAAGCAGGACCGATGCAATCTCTGGTTTCTTTAGAAACTCTTTCAAATATTGTTATATCCTGTCATTTTTATAACCTAATTTTTTCTTTTTCGATAAAAGTTATTTGATTTGTATTCGTTAGTTCTCCTTGTTGCTTTATTGAAGCTTTCCTGGCTGCAGGGATTTCTGTTCAAGGACTGTCTTACCATCCTCGCTGAACGATGTGTGATCATAACTCGGCCCAGTTCTTTCCGTTAGCGTCTGGCCAGAGCCCACGGTCCATTGAAAAGTAGCATTCTTGTCAGGCTTTAATCCACAGCGGCCTGTTTGAAAGTTGCAGATACCTGACAGGACCAGCGGAAAATGCAAAAGCACGATTAAAAAAATAAAAACAACAACAACAACAACAAAAACACACTAGCAATTTGATAGCAAAATCTGGAACAAACACCAAATATTTCTATTTGTGAGGTAAAACAATGCTCGATTGATGTAAAATTGTTATTACTGTTCCCATTTCGAAGAAAAATTTGACCCTTTTCTAAAACATTTGTTGCAAGCGATTTCAAAGCATTCTAGGTTATTTTTCTTCCAGTGCGTGAATAAGGAAAAGAATCCTTCTGGCTAAAATAGCTTATTATGCGTAAAAACTTGTTACAACTGAACTTTGTCCTACCTCTGAAAGATCTGCATCTCTTTTGGGCTGTGGTATTTTTGGAGGTACAAGCTAAATCGTTAAGAGTGCACCTGCCAGAACCTAGAAAACAAACAGATGAGACAACAAGCAAAATTTGTAGCTGCTGATAGACAAGACACCGTGAAAAGAGCAGAAATTTTAACTAAATGAATCGCCAAATGACAAGAGGCAAACATAAAACAATGAGATTATCAGACAATCATAAAAAGTTCGATATGCAAACTTTTGCAAATTACACCTTTAAGAGTATCGCGGTAGATGACTGACCTCCTCTTTTGACCTCTCTGAAATTACTCTCAGACTATTTTTGATTTGGGGAAATCCCCGGGAGATCTTGATAAAAAAATCCTGCACAACATGCGCAGAACCTTTACGACGACGTTTGGTTCTCATAATAGCATTAGCAAAAGCTTTGAAAAATTACTCTGAAACAAGGCCGGAAAGTTCAGATCCTAGCCAGATCCTCTTTTGTTGTTAAAGACTCGGTTATCTAATTCTGATTAGACTTTTTGATGCTCACTCCACTCCCGTTTCTTACTTACCGCACACAGATGGTGTGTTAGTTCCGTCCTTGCAGAAGGGTGTTTGACTACAAGTATCTGACCAAGAAATGCACGATCCATCAAGGCATTGGTGGCTAGAAGGACATGGATTACCTGTCAAATGAATAATGCACATTTCTGAGGGATGGAAATAGACCATCCGTATAGTATCTTAATATCATGATAATTTGACTAAATACACAAAGTCCACTCACGACAGTTTTTTTCGTCGTCACCTTCGGCACAGTCCTCGTTACCGTCACACACAGCCGTTGCTAGCAGACATCCTCCTCCTTGACAAGCGAACTTACTGGATGGACACTCACAATTCTCTTCATCTGAATGATCTTTACAGGCAAAATCGCCATCACACAACAAATTCTTCTTGACGCATGCGCCATTCTTGCAGGTGAACTGGTCATCGCTACACTTGAAACCTAATCGTGTAAAGGCCAGCAGATTTAGGATGAAACAAATCGCACAAATGGAAATGATGGGCAACGAAAAATCTGTTAATGTGAACTAGAAGCATGAAAAAAAAGTCAACTTTACAGTTTCAACATTCACCACGAGCCATTTTAATGTTCAACCTTTGGCCATGAGTCATTTTGTAACGTCTAATGTTATGCAGTTTCTGTTAATACTTTAAAAAGATAGCGATTTTGCTCCTAGCGAGACAAAAAAAGGAACTCAGAATTGTCAATTTAGAACAAGCTGTTAGTTTCTATTTTAAATCTCTTCGCACCCTGAACACCCCCTCCCATATTTTCCATTTATTCCATTTGCCATTGAAACCATGGGCAACAAATCAGAGATAAATAACAGAAGGAACTTTAACATTCATGTTAAACCTTTGTTCTTGAGATATCCTTTCCTAGAAATGAATATAGAATCACCTGGCTGTGCAAAGAAGGGTCGTAGCGAACAATTCTCAGTAGTTATGATGATGTCATCAATTGCAACGTTGATCTTGTTTTCAAGAACACCTTCTCCTTCAAATATAACCTAAAAGTGTAACACCAAGAAGAACTATCAAGCTTTAATTAAATAAGTGACGTGAGGGCATTACTCCTTCATTTCTCTGTTCTTACTTGAATTCCCTTGGCTCCTGGCCAAGCAACCTGAGCCGGTAACCATTTTTCACCGTGGTTTCCGGTCATGTGCCACATTAACACCACATTCCGTTTATTTGGATCCCGCAGGTAAACCTTAAGGGTCGGCTTTGACTTAGCAGGCAGAAGATATTTAAACCGCAAACACAAGCCCACGGATCGGTGAAACGGCTTCCATGGTAATATCGGACTCTCCATCCGTGCTTTGTAAGAAGAATCGACATAGGCAAAGGTACCTGTAAGGAAAGATTAGGGGAATCTTATTTACTTGCTATTAACTATCGCGTTTCAACTGAGCCAAAATCGGAAGTATCCGATGTAAAGTGCCTTGCTAAGGAAAGAACATCGTGAGAGCGTTAAAGAAACAAAATTGATTTTCAGACGTACAGCCGCTGTACAGCCTGAGCCTATTCTGGTTTCAGTGCCCTTAATGTATCGTTACTCCTCCTGAAAGGGATGTTATTCTTTTCGAGTTATTCCCCTTCCCTCTCCTTCCACCCCTGCATTTTTCCTGACGAGTTCCCCAGACAGTTTGCAAGTGATTAGCATCTAGCATGGCCTCTAATTTTGAATCAGCGGGCTCCTACTCATAGGGCAAGGAAGACAGACTAACAAAGCATATAGCACTTAAAAATATATTTTTACCTTCTGTTTTCTTCAGATTTGCGAATTTTTTGGCGCAAACTTGAATTACCCTCCTCCCTCCCCCTCCTTCCTACGCTCCTTTCAAGCCACGCGACCTCTGCAGCTCTGAGATTTCCCTATCTGCTTAAAACTAACCTGGATAGTTAATAAAGGTATTATCACCGGACAATTTCCACTTTCTGGACATGTCCTCAGGGTATGCCCATCCGCAATATCCAGACTGGAAATAGCAATCTTCTACCACCACGGCTGATAAGTAAATTGATAAAAATGTTTAAAAATTAGAACCGACAGAAAATTGCTATTTAAAATCAAATACGAAAAAGATCGAGCAAGGCGAGAGAAGAGTTAAGCGTGAAGTAGAACTCATTTTAGCACCGTGACATTAAAACATGGCCAATGTAAAGCGGCATCTTGAAGTTTCAAAATTGAACAAAACATGAAAGATTCCAAACTATTGTTGCTTTCAACGATGAAAACGTAGTACATTTAAATCAGATGGCCCATTTATTGCTATAAAATGGCTTCAACTGGTTGAAAAAGAACGGAATTCACCTTGAAGATGGAGATGGCCTAACACTCTCAGGTTGGCAATATTCTCCTGATTACTTGGAAACGAAGAAGCAACCTGTTTTGATATGCAGACATGTTAAGAGCCTGTTGGAAACTTTCTTCATGGGAACACCCTTTCTTTAGTCATCTTTTTAAGACAGGTTTTAAAAAATAGCACACCTTAGATATTTTTGGCAACTTTCTTTACTTTACGATTACTAAATTGTGACGCTCACATTTTAACGAACTGCTATAACGTATCTTTGTAAATGAGGTTCAAGTTGAGTTAAGTCTATGAAAACAGGCTATCTGCCTTTAATGTTATACATCTGACCTAATTTTCGGATAATGTTGGGTAGGGAATCGCAAAAAGCCACAGAGGACAGTCAAAACAGAGAAAACATGAAAAAGTTTCATTTGGTTACTATGTCTCAAAATAATCAAGTAAGTCTTGATTCGTACTGAAGTGAGATCTTTTGCTATATAATATGTCATTAATTGACAAAGCGTGTTTGGTCAAGATGACTGCATGTAATTCTCGTCCTTCTTTTTAATTTTTATGTACCTCTACTTCGTGTCACTCCAAAAAAACGTAAAACAAAGAATTCGGCCAATATTCAGCCATCTTGACCTCACGCTTGGTCAATAACGCACATGCACTGACCTCCACTGTGAAATTCCCTGGCTGTTTGATAGTGTCAAATACAGCCGTGAAGGATGTGTTCACACAAGACAGGCTCACTGCTGGATTCACTGTTATATTTTGTCCAAGCGTTGAGATATCCAGTTGTAACGGGCAGTTTGGACAATACAAACCATCACAACAGAACTGGAAAAATCCTATTTGGAATAAAAATCAGAAGGATTGTGTGCCACGTCTGACGTCTATTAAAGCAACTTAATTTTTTAGCTTTTTCTCCCGAGCTGGATGAAGGGGTAACTCTTTTTCATTAAAGGTTTACTATTTCACAATCAAAGCTTCTGTAGAAAATAGTAAAGTTACTTTTCTAATCATAAAACTCCTATATTACAAATATTTCGTAATAGAAATGATTATAATTATAATATCAGCTGATTTTTCCGACGATGTTAAAAAGAAAATTTGAGGATAAGAGGTTGGTTAATTTTTAATAATAATAATTAATACTCTGGTAACTTAAAGGTACATGTAGCATCATGATTAACATGCAAGACCTGTGTAACTCACCCGAAATGCGCAATTCCGAACCAACAAAGCCTGATATAGATGTTTCGTGATTGTCGAGTGTTAATTCTAGCCTGCGTGTCCCTATCACAATTAAAAAAACAGTAAAGAATTTAATGATAGCTCCACAACGATTCTGAATGACTCTTGCCTCCCGGCCATGACAGCTGATATATCTTACGACATAAGCGCAAGTCATACCTGGTTTAGTCCAAAATAGTCTTCTTCCTGGAATAGGTCTTTCATATTCACCATTTGGTCTACGCATGCCCAAAGATACGTGGTCAAGGCCTGCTATTTCACTCATAAAGACCTCCATTTGGTAAATGCGGCATTTTTCCAAATAGACTGGTTGCGATGTTTGCTGGTCTTTATACCTAAAAAAAAAAGACAGCAAAAACAACAAAAAAGCGTGATATAAAAAGAAGAACAGCCAGAAACCTTGTGGTATATTCCTAAAAAGCTTGTGGCGGTTTCTTTGTGTGAATGTGAACAGCAGTAATGCTCCTTTTCTTTAGGTGTTTTAAAAATCTGTCGAAATGGTTTCTCCGAATATCTTTGAATGGACCAGGATGCACGTTCAAGTTTTAAGCGACCCCAACCGTATCAATTATTCTTTTACTTGTCTTACTTGTCCCATTGATGGTGGTCAGTCCATCTTTCAACGGTAATGATTGGTTGCTTTGAAACAGTCCTTTCTGACTTCTTGTCAAAACTTTCAATGCCTTCCTCAGTAACATCGTGCATCCATAGTTCACATAAATCATCGCATGACACGTAAAATGTGTAATTGCCACTTTCAGGAGCCTGTAAAAGGATAAATTCAATTTCTAAATTGTAAAAGGAAAGACACAGAATAACCCAAGGTTACACAAAATTGCATCTTCGAATACTTTTTTCTGATGAGCTATTTTGCTGTCTCGCTGTTCTGCCACTCATTCTAAGTCACGCGATTTTCTACGAGTTCCAGTACGCAGATGGAATTTATGGAGAAGCGAGTGCACTTTTTCCACCTCTATATTCGTTGAGGTAATATATTGGAAATTCCCACCTTAGATTTTTCTGTTGTGCAATTTTTGTTCGTTGACTTTCCACGAAATACTAAGGGTGAAGCAGTCATTTCAACCGTTACTACATTGAAAGACCGTTATTGACTCTCGAGACGATTTCCCAGAGTTGGTTGATGACTTGTATTCACAATTATAGTGAAAAACTCACCTGTAAGTAACCAGTCAAACGTTGAATGTACTTTTCTGCCACGTTAACCGGTGCATCGAAATCTCGCAAGATTATTTGGCTTTGAGGTTTAATTCGGAAAGCAGGATTTTCGCGCATAGTTGGTGCCTTTTTAGTGTCGTAGTTAACATTATACCATGCATCACGCCAGACTCCGTGGATTTCCCCTGTAAACTCTACAAAATAACGATAGATGGGAGCCAAATGAACGAAGATAAACACACCCTAGCTATGAAAAAATTTTGAAATGCAAGATGCCTACGAAAAGATACAAGTTCTGAACGACAAAGTGTCATTAAGTTAAAATTGTTATTTTGTCAGTATATAGGCAAGTGTGTGTGTTCTCTGGATAACTGGGCGGAAATTTACTATGTAAACAGTAACACAGCAGAAACTTTTCAATTTTAATCCATTATCTTTTGACCAAACGATGTGGCAAGTATTGAACAATAATAATAATAATAATAATAACTTTATTTAAGTGTCAGTGTATTTTAGCTCTGCTGTGCTAATTGGGGACACTGTAAATAAGGAAACAAATATCGTAAATAAACAGAAACTCGTTAAAAACCCCAACTAGTAGGAGGCAAACCAGTTGGCTATTTACAAAGCGTGCAGGAGGCCACCGAAGACAAATCCATCCAGGGGCAGGGAGGAGAACTTGAACCCGGGACCTCCGGCTTACAAGTGCAGCGCCCTAACCACTAGGCCACGCTCGCCTCCTATAAACACAAACCTGCGTGAGAGACCTCTCTCCTGCAGTTCCTTTGAAAGAGGAAGCTTCGAAGTAACGTGGATACCACAGTTGTGTATAAACTTTAATTTAACTCTATTTTTTGGTAATTTACTGCAACAGGCGAAACTTACCAATTGTGCGAATCACAACCTGGCAAAGAACTAGCGTGACATTGTTACCAATCAATTTCAATGTCACGTAACGTCCCCGCGCCGGAGGAGAACAGCGTACTTTATAATCCCACGATTTCCCATAGGATACGGACTTTGTACAAGATGGTAAACTGGTTTCATCCGTAGATACGTTAATGTTAAGTATTCCTTTATCTCGTGGACAGCAGTCAATGTTTTCGGTGATCTCAACAGATTCAACGTGAAGGGGCTTTACAAGGGTCACCTGCCACCAAGGGTTGGACTCCTGCAAGAAACAAAGGCAAGAAAAAAAATGAGAAATAATGAGAGGAACACAGACAACGAGAAACTGGTAAAATACCCAAACAAACAAACAAATAACTGCAATAGACAGACGATTGTCTGAGTCTACATCAATCAAAGGTTCATTATATATATATATATATATATATATATATATATATATATATATATATATATAGGCTATATATTCTATTACCATAACTCTTACCTTTTTTGACCTAAAGCATGTGGAAAAGGATCTATCAATGGCCAGAGAAAGCTCATGTGGTAGTAGAACACTCGAGCTTTGGAGCAAATTTTGACGTGAAAAGGAATTTTCTGAGAGATTTAAAAGTAATGATGAAAGTTAATTATGTTTGTGGCTGAAGAATAATAGGAAAAGTCATTACACATGTTTGCGGATACTAGTCAATTGTAAAAAATACTTTAAAAAAAAAGTGAGGATATCTCTTCAAGTTTCATTACGTATCATAAATCGGTTTAAGTAATGTTCGTTATGTTTTAAGATCAGGTTTTCTTGAAAAGTCAGCATGATAACAGACTATTGGCTATTTTATGCCAACTATCTCACTAACGGTTTAGATTGTGGGACATACCGGACCGTTTGAAGCACAGAGCATTCTTATACGTTTTGCAATCTACGTTTCTAATTCTTGATGAAATAGCCGAAAGAACTGCACAACTCTGGACTCCATGGTAGCCAGAAGGATATCCAGGCATCCACAGGGAGGCATTCAACGGGTTGCCATCAATCCAAACCCAGTCATCTCGCGCCAAGAAACCAATATGCAAGTTGTCCGGTTTTGGTCTCATTCCTTCCAGCTTGTTAGATAAAGCAGACCTTAAGCCTTCCCGTGATACTTTGGCCAGTGTACCACCTTTTCGATTGCATTCTATTTGAGCGAAATTCCATGTGAGTGCGCTCTGGGTGTGAATAGAGAAGCAACCGCCTTGGAAATGGAAGAAATTCGGACCACATGCAAATGGTGCTGAAACAAAAAGTTGAGAGTAGGGTTTTTAAAAAGGGACCGAGGCTCTATAAATTCTTCTAGTTGGTAGTTATCAGTTAAACTGCGTCAATCCTTTGGTCAGCGAAAGCTGTCTGTGAAGAGCTCTAAATCAGTATTTTTTAAGAGTACTTATGAAGAATACTGGTGCAGGGTTTCAGTGTTGTTTGGGTCTTTTTGCTCACAAAAGAATTTGTATTTAATTGACAAAATGCTCGTTCATAAGGCATGTGGATATATAAAGCTGAAAAACTGGAAATTTTGGCTTTTCAAGGAATAGAAACATTTTAAAAACCAATATTCAAGGATTTGTAAAAGTATTCAACAACTCACCAGTTTTATTACACCTTGTCTTGACTTTGACTATTTGCTCTATCGATAGTGCCTGATTGTAAACTTGTAAACAGGAGATCCTGCCGCGAAAGAACCTATTCCATCTGTTTGTACCTCCGATCAGCACCTCTGAAGCCGTACTTAGTTCCATATTTACTTTGAGAACTCTTTGGGTGACAACACTATTATTGACAAAAATAGTTGCAATTCCTGTTTGGTAATCATATGTCGTTCCAATAAAGTTCCATTTGTCTAATTTCAAGATGTTTCTCTTGTAGAGAAAGTATGCCTTTAAAGTTTTCCTATCCATATATGTCACTCGAACGCCAAGTGATTGATGAAACACCTTCAGCGAGCAAGTAAAAAATGCATAAGCTGTTTCATACTTGTAAATAAACCCGGTGGAGTTTTGGAGATACACCCAAGAAAAAATACTAGTAGAAAACCTTGTGTCAAGTTCTCCGTTATTTTCGAGGTGCACGAAACTGTCATTCATACCACTGAAGAAGAAGGAGCCATTTGGATTTCCAAAAGGACCAGGTGCAAACGTAATGCCATAGGACTTAGCTTCAGTGGCTCCATTTGGACTCAAGTCTACCGTTCCATTAGCACCTCTCAGAGGAAAGAAAGCCACTGGCATAGGAACATCTTACAACACACAAAAAAACGACTGTCGTGATCATCAAGACATAATGGTATTTAATACGTTTATCACGGTCGGTGAAGCATTTTTTTTTGTATTATAGGCCAATGATAAATGAAACAGAACAATTACGCGAAGCACACTCTACCTCGAACTAATTTTTTCTACATGTCTTTGCTACTCTATCTTTCTATATGTCTTTGCTACTCTATCATTTCTGATCCAGGATAGTTTATGGGGGGAATTTTGGTTAGTTAGCCCTCCATTACCCTCGTTTTGAGGAGAAAGGCAGATATCCCCACAAATTTCGCAGCCCGAGGCTCTTAAGCATCATCTCTAAATGGAATACAATACTTTGAATCAACGCGAAAATAACTCAAAATTTGTATTAAACTGCGGAAGAAGTTTCCGTTTGAGCAACTGAAATAATTTTTACTAGATCGATTTCTAAATTTTAATTACGTATCTTTGGAAACCATACCGAATGGCTGTTCACAGATGTACCCTTTAACACTGTTGCACGATTGATCGTTCCAGCGCCATCCATAACCAACCCAGTTGGAAGACCATCTTATAGCATTCAAGAAAGACCCACATTTTCCATCTCCACTCGGCTCCCTCGGGCCCCACAGATTATGCTTATTAGAAACCACCTGTCCATCTATCCAGACCCAATTGAATTGACCGGTCAATCCAAGATAAATTTCACCGCGGGTGTCAAATTTTAGCTCTCTTCTCCTATTGGCTAAAGCGTCCATCGTGGACGCGTCCTTGGCAACGGCAAGATCGGCGTTGGATAGGTGGCAAAGCCTGCGTGCGTCACTCCACTTAAAGGTTGAGCTTAAATAGAACAGAAAGCAGGAAGTACCGGCTCTGTGCCAGCCGGGTTCGCATCCAAAGGTTATATTACCGCCTAAAAATAAGGCCCGAAACATTAATCATTAGATAGTGGTTTCTTATTTATGTCAGCACCCCTCATGTAAAAGGTTCCTTTCCCTTAGATTTTCTTGCAGACGACTTTAAGAATGATCTCTATGACCACGGTGTTTTTAATGTATTCTATTTTGAGCAGAAACAAACGCTTTGCGAGTGTTACTTTGTTTTGTATTCTCACCTGGTTCAGAAACATTAAGAGCGTAAAAAGAGAATACTGTTTTTCTCCCACAGCAACTGTCATTTCGGTGATTATCGAGGCTTATCATCTGACTGTACGGACTTCTGTCAATCAAGTAAATCTTTCGAGCGTTAATCTCTGTGCCACTGCTTAGGACGACAACATCCAGAGGAAAGCTTGTGTAATTAACAACATCCAACTTCGGTGTGATGAAACTTTTTTCCTTCAACACTGCAGGGTAGATAAAGTATGGTTTCTCTTTCACATTTCCCCGTGCTTTTTCCAGAGTGAATCGAAATTCCTCTGAGTAAAGGCTGTGGTCGGAGGGCTGCAAACCTATTCGAAAGTTTCGGCCTTTGTTCGAAGAAACGTAGAAGGTGTTTGATTCTGGAGATGAGAGAGGTAAGTAAAGAAAACATGACCATACAGGACCATGCAAAAAGTACAAAACCGAAACTGAAGTGGCGAATTATCTAGATGGAAGAGAGATGTACCTCTTTGGAAACAAGTTCCCCTTTGGAATGTGAGGTCGTCAAGTGCTGCATCTCCGGAGTAACTTCTGCCTCTGATACCATCTATGACTACCTACAAAGAGATAAACAACTGTACCTACCGGCACTTCTGAAAACTATCAGTCTAACAGGGTAGGTCATCGATAGAGACAATCATGGTAGAGAATTGGTTCACTATGTTTGATAAAGAAATATTTAACCAGTTAGACTGGACAGAAAACTAATATCGATGACTTTTATCAATGAAGCTTTACTGTTTAAAAACATTCAACAAGTAGTTGTCAAACTAAATTTTGTCGTATAAAATCCTTAAACTTACGCAGCAAGAGAAAAGCAAAATATTAAGAATTGTTCACGATCTTTATAGAGTTAATATTGCGTGGATGTAAAATCATAACAACATAACCTACTTTATACTGTCCTGTCTCGTTGAGACTAATTTGCTCGCGTATCCATTGATCTCCTTTATTCTCGGATTTAAGCCAAACCGGTTTAATCCTGTTTTCATTTTGGTTCCGTACGTAGATAACAACACAGCTCATGGTGGAGCCAAACATGTGATAATAAAATGTCATGCACTGTGGTCCCAGCATCCATGGACTCTCAAGCCTCGCTGTGTCTCCACGGCTTCTAGGAGCTGAAGCCTCGATATAAAGGAACTTTCCAAATCCTTATTTTTGGAAATAAGATGATGTTAAAGCATCTGATGACATCGTGACGCGTTTTACAACATCATTCTCTCAGATATAGTTTCCTTTTCGTCTTCTTGTAAAATCTTTACGTTTCAAAATCGAAAAAAGGGATCACGCGGGGAGCAAACATAGTTTCTGTAAAGCGCTATTGAAATAGAGCTAATAGAAATAATGAAAAAGATACAGTTTCTAAAGTACAAAATCCATTTTTTCTCTTGTCATTCAAAACCCCTTTTTCTTCGTCAGGAACTTCCTCCAATATTCTCTTCAAGCAGGAACCTCTTCGAATTCATTATTTACCGTCTGTGTTCGCATTCACCCTCGAAATGTGCACTTTTATAATGGGGTTACCTATAGTAGCCTCAAGACAGCAGTTCGAGGTGAGCTGATACATGTGTCAGTTGGTAGAAGTAGAAACATAGAGTAGGAAAAAAGTGATGAAAATAGCAGGCAAAATGTCAATATTCGACATATTAGGGGCATTGCAGCTCGAGATGTTATTTTACCTCGACGTTTAGCTGTTTTTTTGCCTCTCATTTAACAGATTTATACATAATGTCATCTCAAACTAGTTCTCTAGTGTGTCAAAAGTAAACTCCTAACAAGAAATTTACCTGATGTATGATCAGCTCTTGGCCCAGTATTAACACTCGGAGTAAATCTTCCGATTGACCATTGAAAATCTGCCTTGGTATCTGGCTTCCAAAAGCAAAAATGGGAATCAAAGTTGCAATTTCCTAGAAAGAGAACGAAGAGAAAGATCAATCGCGGTAAATGTTTGTATTATACATTTTTCCAATGGTGAACTAAAAGGTGGAGAAGAAAATCAAAAACTAAAAAACAAACAAAAGGAACAACAATACTTAATTAAGAAAACGAAATCTTCCTTATTTCACTATTTTGGCATCAGTTTGACCTCAATTGATAATCAAATGCACAAGAGGGCATTATGGAGAACAATGTCTGTAATCGAAAAATTATGAAAATATGATGTGAATGCTCAAAGCTACCATTGAAATTCACCAAAGAAGTCAACTAAGTAGGGCCACATGATATTACGAAACAGTAGTAAAGTACAGCTGTAACTTGCAGTTATTGTTGTAAAATACCTAACTGTTCGCCTGACGTTTCGGTACGATTTGCACACGTTCCATCCGTCAATATCACATCATCAACTGCCACGTCCCCCTGATAACTAGGGCCAACGACTCCTCGTAGCGCTACCTGCAAAAATTTTGTCATTGATATTCCTGAAATTTTTCGCCGCGTAAACCATTGCAATTTATACTTATTGGTATTTTACTTTCTTCGGTGTAATTATTATTTAAAATTGTCTGGACACTTGTTTCTGCGAGAACTCCCGCAAACAATCATTTCTACGCTAAAGCTCAGAACATCAGCACTTTCGTAAACATTGAAATAGGTTTGGAAACGTCGGTACGATATATGTATTTCTTTATATTTCGGAAGAAATTCTCCAGTTTGCAAATTTATTGCCCTTTCAATACTTCTTTCTTTTCTTCTAGTTCGCTTCCAATTCGAAGTTTTAGCTCCGATATCTAACTTACTAACTATCTAACAACCTTGCCCAGATTGTAGGAAAATTTGGGTTGACCTCAGTCGGATTCTGGTCTATGTTTTTTCTTCTTAGGCTCCGTGGATGGGTATCACAAACTTATCCAGGATCATCGAGTGCTTTCTAGGGAAGAGGAGGCCGTGGGGTGTAAGGTGCCAGAGGAAAGAATCTTTGTTGACCGACTCATTACGCCGGAGTTCGTCACCTATGGAATCGATAAGATAAATCCTACCTGAAACTCGTCCACATTAGGTATATCGACAACGGCCTTTCTCCACTGGTTGCCTTGGTTTCCAGTCCTTTGCCAAGTCAGATAACTTTGTGGTTGACCTGCAGCCCTCACCAATACATCAAGTCTTCCCATATGTAATCCATACATGTGATAAAAGAAGTGTAAACATTTTGGTCCCCAGATGAACGGACTCAGCAGTTCTGCAAACTGATGTTGTTTTGCCGGGCGTGACGCTTCGATGTGGATATATTTTCCACCTCCTGTAAAGATATGTGCGAATAATTACTGATAAGCAGCTATTATGATCCATGATCTGCTAGACAAGAACGCGACCGGCGAAGAAAAAAAGTAACGAAAAGAAAATGAAGGAAATCACTGTAGTTTAGTTACAACAGAAACGCTTTGCTTAGCTTTAAACTTAAGTTTATTCCTCAGTATTGAACTGCGCATCCTCTACTGCGCATAAAAATCATGTAATCAAGCGAATAAACGCGTGCTGATTCAGAGAACACAGTAATGAGACATAAGCGGCTTTTTTACCTTCACTAGAAATAGTTTGCGATCAAGTACCAACCTGTGTGGTCTTCGGTCGGTCCAGTCCCTTGGCTTGGTGTTCCATGTCTTCTTAGTACCCAATCCATTTGGTCTCCGGTGAAATTCAAGTTGCGCCATCCGCAGAAACCCTCATCAAAAGTACAGTTCACTAGAATTTCAAACGGTTAAGTGGAACGGAGAAATTCACTAAACAATAAAATGGAACATTATTTGCATAGCCTGAAATTAAGAACGGTTACATCTTGCCGGGTGACTTACACCAATAAGGCCTATTGAAGCGAGTGCAAGTGGCTTCACTCTCTCTGTATGGAATTCTATTCAAACGCAGGTCAAGCGTCTTGATTTTTTCAGGCTTCACTGACATACTGTCAGTATATCTTTTTCCTTCATAGTCAATGCGATAGAATCAGCTTACGAGGAAAAGGGTCCGTACCAAGGTCCATCATTCCCAAGCTTATTACTGCTTAAGTAGGGGAACTACATACTGACCTGCCTCATAAATTCGTTAAGTTCTCCGACAACTTGCCGAAACACATATTAATGCTACGAGATTATGTCTCTTGGCTGAACCACGATACAATATTGCAGTCGGCCCGGGGCTTGCTCCCCGAAGTCCTAAGTGCTAACCTCCGTGCTAACCCCCGTATATACTTGATGCTTTGAAAACAAAGGTATTTTGTCTACTAAAGGTAAACTAATTCCCTCCGTAGATATAAATTTGCTAAAAAATATTCGCTTTCTCCAGTTGTAAGAATTTGCTTGACATTTATCTTCTAACTGTACCTTGAAATGCCCCAGCTGGCATTATATTCTCAGGAGAGACGCACGTTAAATTTGTGCTGAAACTAATATCATCAATGGCAATATCAGCTGTGAAACTTGCGCCTGCCATACCCTCAATTATGACCTGAAAAGAAATGATGTACAAGAGTGATTGACTGGTTTATTTAGCGAGTCAGTAGAACAAGGAAACAGATTAAGACATTTATATTTCTTAATGCTTATACGAATGATTTGTTACGAAGTGGTAAAGCAAAAATTGGGGCTCATAGGTGACTATAAATGGATGGTCAAATAACATGCAACAGCACTCCAAAAATAAATTATCTTTGATCTTCGAGGATATTTTTTCCCATAGTGCATGGTATAGTGTATTGACTTAGATTTGCCTCGCTACCTGGTAGCTTCCGGTGTAATTCAAGGTCGTACAGCCCTCAGTCCAGCTGCTGGAAAGTTTTCCTCCATGACGGCTCCATACCCTAAATTCTTTTCCCGCCTGATCTCTAACATAGACAGACAGAGTCTCAACGGCGCTGCCGTACATGGAGTAGAAAAACGTTAACCGCTGGTTGCCTCTCATCCAAGGACTGTATAACTTGGCCCTCTCGTGATATCTACGTGGAAGTGACGTTTCGATGTAAATGTATGAGCCATTTCCTGAAAACAAAAATTTAGTTTGACCGTTAACTTTACATATAGGCATCCGACGTCAATCGGTTATCCAGCGTCTCCTCTGAAAGAGCGGTCTGGTCACAGATTTGAATGGTGTCACGATCGTATTTTTGTTTCATGATATTGAAAAAAACAAAACAAAACAAAAAGACAACATCCACAACAACAAAAAAATTGATTTGGAGGCTCTTTCAATTCTCTACCTGAATGGTCTTTGCTAGGTCCTGTGTCAAGACTAGGAGTAGCCCCTTGCCGGAGTAGCCAATCAAAATGATCCATGCCTCTTTCATTCCGCCAGTTGCACAACGTTTTTTGATCAAAAGAGCAATTCCCTGGAAGCAAAAGAGGTGTTCAAATATGATTTGATTTAAGTAAAATATGTTCACAAGTTTTAACGCTTTAACAGGAGATCCTCACTCAGTGGTTGTCAGGCTGCGGTAAAGATCTCTCAACCACTCAACCACACATAACCCTTTAAAATTAGATCTTTAGAAAATTTAGAAAGGACCAGTTTTAATGTTAGGTCGTTGTACACTTGAAAGAAAGAAGAAAGAAAGAAAGAAAGATAAAGTGAAATACTAAAAAAAAGAAAGAAAAAAGAAAAGAAAAAGGTAGATGAAGGAAGATAGGCAAAGTGTTGATGCTGAAACTTTTTTATAAGATGTAAAATAAGTTAAGTTTAAAGCAGATCCTACGCTCAACATTCGAGGTTTTTGTCGACTTGTTATCATGAGTTAAAGACAAGCCTAAGTGAGGTCACATTCCAGTTATTGCTTGGAAGCTCAATGTCACCCTGATAACTAACCATGACATTCAATTACCTGAAGAAATTTGATTGCGCAAAAACACCGAAGCAGATTCACAGCAGTGCCACAACTTAAATCAGGACACAGAGATACAGTTATTTTTTTACGGCATGAGATCATAATTAATGATTAAACGTTTTCAAGAAAAGTTCAACGTGTGGTTTAACATCTCCCTTGTTAATGTTTGTTGTCATAGAAACCCAAGTTAGATTCATGTCAATAAAACAGCGGCCACTTGAAAAAAACGCTTTAATTTCAAATTGATACCCTTTATTCTATATTTCTATGAAAAAAATTGTTAACAAAGATCTCTATGAAATTGATTCCTAGTGGAGTATTCGGAGAGTGACTTTAAACAGTCTTTTCATCATAAAAGTCCTCAATTGCCCGCAAATTGCCAATAACGCATGGAAATTTCACATTTGCGAGTTCTGAGCCAAAGGTCTGCAATTGCCCTCTTTTCAATTAACTCTTACCGGCAGTGAGGTTATGCTCAACCATAGGCGGATGATAAAGTTGGTGAAACCAAGAAAAGAAAAAAAAAACAATTTAGACGCTTTCTGAATGCTTACTTATGAAATCTTATAAAAAGAGAATTTCGGTCATTTACATGATTGAACTTGCAGCTGCATTTAACAAAGCCGCAGATTAAACGTCGTAGTTATCGATTCTATGCCAAGGAAAGGGAGAATGTAGGCGGAAAAAACCGGTCAAAAGACAATCTGTGAAATATTATCAACAAGTATCATATATTCTCAAGCCTGATATCAAATGCGCTTTTTACTCCTTCATTATTGCAGATCGGGATACAAGGAAGATATCCTTTACTTGGACGTTTCAAATTGAATTGGATGTATTTCCTTTCGTTGATTTAGTATGTCATTGGCCTAAATTCTACTTTCTGTATATCCCAACAATAAAAACGATAAAAAGATACTTTATAATGATGGTTTTGGAGGACTGAAATTTAAAAAAAAGGGAATATGTGAAATACCGGGGATTTTTCGATATTTGAAAATGAACAAATTATTTTGTTTATTTTTGCTAATGGTTAACACTGATTGCGAATTTGAATAATCTTCGCGATGGCAAACACTGAGAGAAACAGTAACGTCTACAACCTTGAATTTGGAAGGAAATACAAGTAATGGAAGAGGGAGACAATTTATCACTTACAATTGACGTGAGGAAAATCAGTAAGAAAAATGATTGGCAAGATGTTGTCTTGGATATAAGAAAGGAAATTAATTTCACGCATTTCCTTTGTAAAACCTACCATAGTCCCAAATGGAAAACTTACCGGTAAAGTCTTGAGAAGAACCACCAATTGTAGCGAGAAATACATGGGTCAAAAGCCATATCGATAATTCTTGGAGGAACTTGAACATAATGATCTTGTAGTATGCACAGTCTAAAAAATTAAGACAAAAAAAATAGTAACAGTGCTTTTAATGTTTCTAAAATTGATTACTGGTGATGAAGTATTTTAGAATCAAGAGAATATAAACAGTTTACATTCTCTTGTTGGAACCAAATTTGCAATGATTTTACCTGGTATTTTAAGTTGGCGATGCGCAACTTTGCAAAGCTGTCATCCTTCAAGGAAAGTCATATCTTCAATCGTATGTTGTTACATGCGCGCTTGTCAAAGAAAGGGTGTTTAGCATAACTTATTACCAAACATAGAAACTAAATATAATCAGCACAAAGTGAAAAGTTGAAATCATTAAAGCCGCAGGAGAAAATTGCGTCGGAGAAGAATAATGAAAAAAAAACTTAAACAAATAGGAAGTTTTAAATTATTAAATCATTTACCACCAAGACAGGGCATTCGCATTTATTCTTTATCTCAAGCGGCTCAAACTTGGCAAAGGAGTCAACTGTTTTGGTAAATAAAACAGCCATCTGGGACATTTACTTTTTACATAGGAAAGAAAATTATTTAGGACATAATACTGATATTGAAAATATTCTACCTTTTAGATAGCTAAGCAATTAAATACGCGAGGCAAGAAAGAAAAAGCTGAACCTATAAAGGAGAATTCAAGAGAATATTGCTGCTAAATATTTGTTAAAATTCTATGTTACCAGCTGCAGTTTCGTGCAAACGAAACCAGTTGTTGAAATTCCGTTTGTGGAACATCATCGTCGAAAATCATTATTTAAATATGTCACCTTTGGTTTATTGCTAATAAAATCGTTCTATCACTCTTCACAGAAGTTGCCATTTGATTTCTTTGTAGCTATCAAATTGGACTGACATCCAAAATATTTTCATTCTGCTGTGATGCTTCTCTCTTTATTTTACTCGGACATCCATTTACTATTGAAGACGTTAGTCTTACAAAAATACAACACCGGTATTTCAATCGAAGCCAAACTTAACTGACGTTCTTTTCTTAATCCAATTGTTTCAGTTTGATCGGAAAATGTCTCATGACGAGTTGCTGTCTATCGAAAATTGACTAACAAAGGCTGGCCGAGTCCTCAACTAATGGTCAGACAGATGAGGTAAGTTGTGTTTTTAACAATTTGGTGATAACACTTTCTACTGCCGCTAAGTAACACGATAATAACAGCAATGATAATAATAACAGTAATAATAATAAGAATAATGGTGATAATGATGATGATGATGATGATGATAATGAAAATGATACTAATGTCAGTGATATTGATGATGATATCAATGATAGCGATAATATGAGTAATATCAATAATATTAATAATACCCTCTCAATATCCTCTCCTCAAGTCATCCTCCTGAAAACCTTTGAGACAAGAACAATTTCTCTCAGTTTGGCCTTTCGCTGTGCAACATCTTTGCAAATGTGACTTTTGCCTCATTCCTCTAATTTCTAGTTTCGAATCTTAATGCAAGCATTAAAGCCTTGAAAAATCACCAAAATCGGCTGGTTTTTGTGATAGTTGCAACCTTTAATTTCCAAATCAGTCCTATATCGTAGGTGTACTCAAGCCTCCATGGCTGGCATTTTTTCTTGGGGGCTTGTTAAGGATAAAAACGACCTTTTCAAAAGCAAGCAGCGGAACTTTGATAGGAGATACGCAAGCTAAATATACCCCGATAGAATTACTCATTATCACTAGGAGAAAAAAAAATGGTTAAAAGACGCCTCTAAAGGCGCTCAGTTAGTCACTGAGAGTCAATTATGTGGTTGAGTTAAAAAATTTGAGAAAGTTTTGAACTCAATTATATTGGAGATGAGAGGGAATAGATGTTCAAAATGAGAATACTGCTCCGAAAGGGAGTCGAGAATTGGTGAGTCAGAAGAACGGATTAGCAGGTTCGTATCTGCTACTCACAGCAAATAAAGAGCACTCACTTAACATCAAGGACCTGCTCGATAACAGTCGACGAAAGCACCTCTTAGATTTAAACCTGTCAGAATATGTCAATTTGAATATTAGGGCGTTTGTTATCGACGATGTTTTCTTGCGTAATTGATTTCACTTCATTAAGGCAATTTAACAATCGTTTGACGAAAAGAAGAGCAGTGTGCACACGATAAGAACTACCTATCATTTTCCTAAAAAATGGCTATTTGGTTAAACTACGCTATTAGACAACGAATTGAAATTTCTGGCGCCTTTCTTGTATGTCAAATTAATTTACGAGGGAGATATTCTCGTCCCATAGAAGACTTTTGGAAGTCTAAATCAGTAAAATTCTCTAGACTGTAGACTGGTCGAGAACTAATTAAATTTTTCGACAATTTCCTGGCAATTTTCTTTATTTAAAGTGTAGTAAACAGTACCAAGCATATTAATGCACCGTAATTAATGCTTTAAAGTGTCCTACAAGTCTTCAATTGAAGAAGTTAATATCTCCTCATCAAACCCACTATTTTCTAAACTTCAGAGCCTGTGCTGAACTTTCTAACCTCTAAACACGACGTTTCTTTTCCGTATAGGTGAGGGACGCTTTCAAATGAGCACGAACTGATGAACGGAATTCTGTCTCTCATTTCACGTGGAGATTGACATCACGGCCTCAAATAAAACAACACCTGTCAGAATTAGCGCTGACCGGAATTTACGACCTAGATGATTGAGTGCCATTAATGAAGCGGCGGCGCATAAACGCGAATTTTCAATCGCACTTGAAATAAAGCTATTTTTATTTCCATGCATTACATGTTACAGCTAGAGCTGTAAACTCTCATAAGACCTAGACAAAGAAACGAAAATTGTTCTCATGAAATTCACCGAGTATCTTTCTTTTCCATTCTAATGGATATTGATATTACTGCTGTTTATCATGAAAATGCATGAAATTCTCTCACTTCGATTGGCTGCTAGCAAGCAAAATGAATAATTGATTTTTAGTTTGCACTGAAGCGCAAATGAATAATTTGAACTCGTGCTTTTCTCATTCCGGTGATTAAAATCGAGTAACCTCTCGAACTGCGAACAATTGGGAGCGCTATTATGATGGCCGATTTTTGTCCTTTGTTTTCAACTTACGTTTTAGCTCATGTCAGTTATGTAATATCTTTCGCCCTAAGGAGGTCCCATAGGATTGTAGCACAATGTTGGGGCGCGCGCGAGCGTGCTGTTTTTTCTAGAAGATTTCTATGTTTCGCTTTTTAGGGTCACTAAAAGCCATCAAAAGGCAATGAGCAAGATTCGGACTATCGTTTTCTGTATTAAATATTATCAAAATAATAATATTTGCTCCACGAAGGAAGACGCTCGCTAGTGGTATTTTGGCTATGCCTTTGAATTTCTTCTTATTTGGTCTGAAAGATTTTTTTCTATTGACAGGCACTAAGAAAGGCACAAATACGTTGAAAGGTCCAGCAAATCTTAGGAAATTTGCACCGAAGGAAACGCTATATATCTTACCCGAAAGATCTCTATTTTCTGTGTCGCAAAACGTTACCTAATGGAAGAGAGCTTCATCAAGAACGGTATCTGAGCATGCGTAGACTTTCTAATCTGTCGCCTTTTGGTAATCTTTCCGATGTTGTTATGTTTTTTTCTTTTCGGTTGACCTCTTTTCAAGCTTACAAGGCCTATGAATACTACGGGTCCAGTCGCTGGAAACCTAGATTCCATCACATAAAAACTACATTGTGTTAAACTGTTTTTGACTCACCTTTCCAGATAACAATAGTGCGATCGTATCGAGCTGCCATGTTTATTTTGCATGTTGACTCTTACAGAGCTCGTGCTATGTTCGCACTCAGATCTCGCGCGGTCAAAAAGCCTTATGGAGCCTCCCTAAACCACGCAAAATTATTAGAATGTAGTGGGTCTAACTGTTGCTTCTGAAAAGGCGGTATCAAGCTCAAAACGTTTTATACTTGAGCGACGATCGTTGTGTTTTCTTCAGGACGAGAATATCATCAATCGAAAAATACTAAGTCAGGGTGCTATCTTTAACAGAGAATGAACACCCTCTGATATTAGATGTGTTCTTCAGAAAAAAAAAATCCTGGGAGATAATTGTAAAAGTATGGTAACTGAAGAAACTACATGCTGCTTAAAGACTGCAAAGATTACGTTAAGATTATGTAAACATTGCTTTATTCTTACCAAGAGCGCCTCTTTTCAATTCTTAATTAGAGTCCGTTTGCACATAATAAGACAACAATTGTGAGGGTGAACAGGTGAGTTTTCGAATATTTTCAGTGAGTAATCATAAAAGTCTAAGACTCTTTCAGTTAATGCATCTCGCATTGTCTGTTGTAAGACACCTTTGAGGACCCTCTTGTTGTAGCAAATGAAGTTGTTTTTTCTATTTTGAAACACAGCATGATTACAACAAAAAGATAATAAATAAAACGAAACAAAAAATCTAAGAGATAAAAATGTCATCGTGGCTTAGGTAGTCTTCTGCATGGGGGCTGGAAATATCTTTTTGCTTGTGATACAAATTGCATTTCTTTGTGATTAAGAAAGTTCTTTGTAAAATTTTTTAAAATGTTTTGACTTGGTCTCTTTAAGGAAGAAGGCAATCATGAAAAAACTATTTGAGCACATGTCTTTGTGGCCAGATTTCTGTAATCACTTTCCAATCCCTAGTTTAGATGTTCGAATTAAAACGGGATCACTGCATCGTTCCTAAAATAACCAATCGACAAAATTGTCATTAAATTCTGACTCTGATTTGTGGCTGACAACGTGGCTTCGAAGGGATTAATTTTCTTTGAGATTCCAAAAAAATTTGAAATATTGTTTTTCCGCTTCGTAACGGTGAGAAGTTTTAAGATAGAGAAGTGACCAGCGCAGTATTTTGATAGGCCTTAGTTTCGAAACTGAATCTTAGAACTCTTTGGTTATCTTCCTTTGGTTGTTCCCGAAAGTCAACCATGTGCACTCGCATAAATCTGGCACCGGAAAGTCTGACCAGTGCATGTGAGAAAAGCTAAACATAACTGAAACCTGCACACGTTGCGGTGGTCGGTGAAGTTTGATAGCGCGTGAACGAAAGCATTGAAAAGTCGATAGAAATAATGCAGTCACTCACCACGTCCGTAAAGTGGCACTCTTGTAGCTTCGTTCTGATAGCATGTGGTTTAAATGACGAAGAGGTGAATGTTTAACGCCAGCAAAACAACA